GATGGTTCAACATTAGAAAATCTATCAATGTAATCCACCATATTAACAATCTGCGAAAGAAAAACCACATGATCATCTCACTAGATGCTGAAAAAGCCTTTGACAAAATCCAGCACCCCTTCATGATAAAGGTCCTAGAGAGATCAGGGATAACAGGAACGTACCTGAATATAATAAAAGCAATATACAGTAAACCAACAGCTAACATCAAACTAAATGGAGAGAAACTCAAAGCAATTCCTCTAAAATCAGGAACAAGACAAGGCTGTCCACTCTCTCCATATCTCTTCAATATTGTACTTGAAGTTCTAGCTACAGCAATAAGACAACAAAAGGAGATAAAGGGGATACAAATAGGAAAAGAAGAAGTCAAACTTTCATTATTTGCAGATGATATGATAGTTTACATAAGTGACCCAAAAAACTCCACAAGGTTACTCCTAGAGCTGATAAACACCTTCAGCAATGTGGCAGGATACAAGGTAAACTCAAAAAAATCAGTGGCCCTATTATATACAGATGATGAAGTGACTGAGAAAGAAATCAGAGAAACATCACCTTTTACAATAGCCAAAAACAGCATCAAATATCTGGGGATAATGTTAACCAAGGAAGGAAAGACCTGTATATCAAGAACTTTGTGTCTTTGAAGAAAGAAATCAAAGAAGATACCAGAAAATGGAAAGATCTCCCATGCTCTTGGATTGGTAGGATCAACATAATAAAAATGGCAATCTTGCCAAAAGCAGTCTATAGATTCAATGCAATCCCTATCAAAATTCCATCACAATTTTTCAAGGACCTGGAAAGAACATTAATCAACTTTATATGGAAAAACAAAAGGCCCAGGATAGCCAAAACATCCCTATACAATAAAGGAACTTCAGGAGGCATCACCATACCTGACTTCAAGCTCTATTATAGAGCTATAGTCCTGAAAACAGCTTGGTATTGGCACAAAAATAGGCAGGTAGACCAATGGAACCGAATCGAAAGCCCTAATTTTAACCCACACACCTATGAACACCTGATTTTTGACAAAGAAGCTAAAACTGTACAGTGGAAAAAAGAAAGCATCTTCAACAAATGGTGCTGGCATAACTGGGTAGTGGTATGCAGAAGACTGCAGATAGATCCATGTTTATCGCCTTGTACAAAACTTAAGTCCAAATGGATCAAAGATCTCAACATACATCCAGCCACACTGAAACTTTTAGAAGAGAAAGTGGGAGATACTCTTCAACGAGTTGGTACAGGAGACCACTTCCTAAACATAACACCAGTGGCACAGGCACTGAGATCAACAATTAACAAATGGGACCTTCTGAAACTAAAAAGCTTCTGTAAGGCAAAGGACACAATCAAAAAGACAAAAAGGCAGGCCACAGAATGGGAAAAGATATTCACTAACCCTACATCTGACAGAGGGCTAATCTCCAAAATTTACAAAGAACTCAAGAAACAAGTCTCCAAAACACCAAAGGATCCACTTGAAAGGTGGGGTACAGAGCTAAATAGAGAATTCTCAGTAGAGGAGGCTAAAATGGCCAAGAGACACTTAAGAAAGTGCTCAACATCCTTAGCCATCAGGGAAATGCAAATCAAAACAACTCTGAGATACCATCTTACTCCTGTCAGAATGGCTAGAATCAAAAACACCGAAGACAATTTATGCTGGAGGGGATGTGGAGAGAGAGGAACACTCCTCCACTGCTGGTGGGAATGCCAACTCATACAGCCTCTTTGGAAATCAGTATGGAGATTCCTCAGGAAAATGGGAATTAATCTACCACTAGACCCAGCAATTCCACTCTTAGGCATTTATCCAAATGAGGCAGGTTCATACAACAAGGGCATCTGCTCCACTATGTTCATAGCAGCATTGTTTGTAATAGCCAGAACCTGGAAGCAACCTAGATGCCCCTCAACTGAAGAGTGGATAGAGAAAATGTGGTACATTTACACAATGGAGTATTACTCAGCAGAAAAAAACAATGGAATCTTGAAATTCGCAGGGAAATGGATAGCACTGGAAGAAACCATCCTGAGTGAGGTAACCCAGTCGCAAAAAGACAAACATGGTATGTACTCACTCATATATGGATTTTAGATATGGATCAGGATAGTGCCAGTCTGCACTTCCACAGATAGAGAGTCTGGGAAACAGGAAAGAACCTAAAAGATATGCATATATGCATAATACCCAAGAGAAGAGGATGGAGACAAGATCCTCTGAATGGATGGGGAACAGGGCGAGGGGGGGTAGTGGGACCTGGGAAGAATAGAGGGGGTAAAGAGGAAGGGAGTTGGTCATGGGGGAACAGGAAGTTGAGGGGGTGGGGGTAGAATAGGGGGAAGAGGGAATCATAGGATCGAAGACAGATCAGGCACCAGAGTGACCTCGAGTGATCTAAAGGTATAACATCAATTGGCAAGCTAAGCAATAGTGGAAGGACCACCTCGAATGCCCATTCCTGATAATGACCTTGATGTCTATAACTATCCGGGAGCCTTCATCCTGGGACTGATGGAAGCAGAGGCAAACACACAACTAAGCACTGAACTGAACCCAAGGAACCCAGTGACAGAGAGAGAGGAATGATGAGCAAATTGGCAAAGAATGGGCTGGCAAAACCAGCAGAGACAGCTGATCTGAACAGGGGAGTGCTCTTGGACCCCAGACCGACAGTGGGGAGGCCAGAATGGGACTGATCTGGACCCCCCAAATGTGAGTGTCAGTGAGAAGGCCTGGACAACCTATGGGGCTCTGAGCTGTGGATCAGTGTCTATCCCTGGTATACAATCTGTCTTCATGTGCCTATAGCACAAAGAGAGATGCTCTCTCAGCCTGGACTCTTAGGGGAGTGCCTTGACCCTACCAAGAGTAAAATGATAGACTCTAGACATCCCCTATGTGGAAGGATTTGGCAATAGGGTGGGAGGGAGGGTGGAAGGGGAGTGCGGGAGGAGGGGAGGGAGAGGGAACTGGGATTGACATGTAAAACAAGCTATTTAAAATTAAAATAAAAAAATAAAAAAAAGAAAAGAAAAAAACATATAAGTATCAAGGAGTTTGGTCATGTATGAGTGATTTGAAAATGAATTTCTTACCTAGCTATTTCTTTTTGTAGTTTCCTGATTTTGTCATTACGAATCTCCAAATCCTGTGTTAATGACTTAATATATTCCTCCTGGAAAAAAAGTATATGTATATGTATATATGTTATTTTCATGATTTTAATTTATATCTGTATAATATCCCCTATTCTCAGAACTCATTGATCATTATGGAAGAGGAGATTTAAAGATTATTAAGTGTGCATGGCAGTGTAAGATGAGTCAAGGGTGTTTCTGGAAACACCAGGGCAGCAGATTCAATGAATTCACTGTAGTCCAGACAGAACGCAGAAGACCTGTGCAGGCTCATGGCCAACGGAGATCCACCAGGAACTGGGGCATGGCTATAAATACCTACACACAGCCAAGAGAGGTTGGCAGGAATCCATGGGAAAAGGATGAATGATGTTCTTTAAGGGTAGAATCTTTGCTGGCTTGTCACCTTCCAAACATGTGTAGCACAATTTTTACATCATGAGTATAATGGAGGAATAAAACATGCAGCAGAATGTTTGATGACTTGAAGGCAGGTATGAGATGAGTTGGGACAGGGTCATATATCATCAAAATACATGGTGGAAAATACTCAATGAACTATTTAAAATAAGTAAAAAACTACTTCACTCTGGGAAATGTGCTTGTCTAATGATCTAGTACTTATTATTTAAGAAAACTAAATATTGCCGACAATTAATACTCATGATGCCAATGAAAGGCTTAGGTTACAATGAAATCCAACTTTTTCATGAAATATTATATCTTATAGTTATACATTATGGTGACATATTTGCAGGATCAAAAATTCAATTTGAGATTAGTTTTCCACACAGCATTATCAACAGTAGCCAAACACATGAAAATTAAGAGTCCATCAAAGGTTAAAGGGTAAACCAACTATGGTAAATATGAAATATTGAGTGTAGAAAATCACAGGATTTATTTATCATCAATCACTTAACACCTGGAGGACATGGTAGCTTCTGTTTTATTTTCATCCCAGAAGTCTGGAAGTAAAGTAAATCACAGCATGAATTTGGTATTAGCCTGGGCTACATAGTCACTTTCTCAGAGGCTAGCCTGGGCTACATAGTCCCTGTCTCAAAAAACAGTCTTATTTTCAGAGTAATAAATTTTACAAATTCAGAGAACTTCTGTAAGCTCAGAGAATTTAAACTTGTATTTACAAACAGTTACAATATGAATATAACAAATATATGACCAGGGAGAATATTCTTATCTCCTAAAATGTGGTTGTACACTACTGCTAGTCACAGGAAGTATTCTGCACAGTCTTTCAGGAATTAATACAAAATGGGCACAATAAAAAGGAACTTACTTGATGTATCATAATTTCTTTAATTTCCTCTTCTTGACGCATTGTTGTTTCTTGTAATTCAGACATATCAAGGATAAGCCTAAAATACATATTTCAGAATGAGTTGAATTTACTACACACATTTTGGAAATATCCAGTAAGATCAAAATACATGTTTCAGAATGAGTTGTATTTACTGCAAACAATTAAAAATACACAACCAGATTCTGAACAAAACTGTGAATGATCATCGGAATACTGACCAATTTGACATACAGTGATTTTGAAACTGTACCAGTCTTTGGGTGGCCCTTTGTCTGTACACACTTTAGAGGTAATATGAACAAATGTGAGTTTTCTTATTTGTCTTAGTGTTACTGGGTATAGAGACAATATACTGACATACTGACAATAGAGACTGATTGCACTGACAGCCCAGCATTGAAAGTGTAGCAGAAACCAGAGGCCTCAAACCAGACCTGTGACTCTGCAATGAACACTTGCAAGTAAACATATATGGATCAAGGAGTTTGGTCATGGATGAGTGATTTGAAAATGAATTTCTTACCTAGTTATTTCTTTTTGTAATTTACTGATTTTTTCATTCCGATTCTCCAAATGCCGTGTCAATGTTTGAAATGATTTATTCTGAAAAAAGTACATATATGTACATTTTAAAATTACATGTGTGATATTAAATATATCTTGTTCAAAATCTCCTATTCCCAAAACTCAGTGATCATTATGCAAGAGGAGGGGTAAAGATTGTTAATTGTGCAAGGCAGTGAATTATGCAAGAGTGTTTCCTGGACACAGCAGTGCAGTAGCTTACATGACTTTACAGCAGGCAAGATAACAATCAGAAGACCTGTGCAGGCTCGTGGCCAACAGATTTCCACCAAGAACTGGGACATGGCTATAAATACCTACACACAGCCTGGAGAGGCTGGCAGTGATCCATGGGAGAAGGATGAATGATGTTCTTTAAGGGTAGAATCTTTTCTGGCTTGTCACCTTCCAAACATGTATGTGTCGTACAAATTTTACATCATCAGTATAAGGAAGGTAAAACATGCAGCAGAATGTTTGGTGCATTGAAGGCAAGTATGAGATGAGTTGGGGCAGGGTCATATATCATCAAAATATATTGTGGAAAATACACAATGAACTACTTAAAATAAGAAAAAAAGACTGTCCTCGGGTAAATGTGCTTGTCTAATGATCTAGTACTTATTCTTTAATAAAGCTGAATATTACAGATAACTAATACTCAAGATATCACAGAAAGGTCTAAGGGTAAAATGAAATCCAAACTTTCATCAAATGTTTATGTATATCTTATAGATATACATTATGATGATGTATTGGCAGGGATCAAAAATTCAATTTGAGATTAGGTTTCCACACAGCATTGTTAACAGTAGTCAAACACATGAAAATTAATAGTCCATCAAATGGTAATTGGGTAAGCCAACTAAGGTAAATATGAACTATTGAGTGTAGATAATCACAATATTTATCATTAATCGCATAACACTGATAGGACATGGTAGCTACTCTTTTTGTTTTCATCCCAGAAATCTGGAAGCAAAGTAAATCACAGCATGAATTTGGTATGAGCCTGCGCTACATAGTCCCTGTCTCAAAAAACAAATCATATTCCCAGACTAATGAATTTTACAAATTCAAAGAACTTCTGCAAGCTCAGACAATTTAAACTAGTATTTAAAAACAGTTACATATGGATATATCAAATATATGACTAGGGAGAATATTCATATCTCCTAAAATGTGACTGTATACTACTGCTAGAATCAGGAAATTTTCTTCTCACTCTTTCAGAAATTAATACAAAATAGGCTTTCTAAATATGGACTTACTTGATTTGTCTGCAATGCTTGAATTTCCTCATCCTGATGTTTTGTTGTTGATTGCAAGCTAGAAATTTCATGGTTAAGCCTGAAATACATGTTTCAGATGTTTACTGCACACACATTTGATAATACCCAATTAGATTAAAATACATGTTTACGAATGAGTTGTGTTTACTGCAAACATTTAAAAATACACAACCAGATTCTGAACAAAACTGTGAATGATCATAGGAATTCTGAACATTTTGACATACAGTGATTTTGAAACTGTACCAGTCTTTGGGTGGCCCTTTGTCTGTACACACTTTAGAGGTAATATGAACAAATGTGAGTTTTCTTAGTTGTCTTAGTGTTACTGTGTATCAAACTCACAGATTCAAACACACAACACATACACACCTCCACTGAGCTTCAACAACCAAAGTAAACTCTGCATTTCAGGTAAACTAAGTACAGATTTTCCCTCTGGTTTCAAAAGTGTGCAATTAGTATGTATTATACAAATTCTATCTTGGCACGGCTGGCTTCCTGGTATGCACTCAATCTATTCAGTACAGTGCTTTCATCACAGAACTCTGCAGATGATCTCCATCTCTCAAACTCATAGTACAATCCTCAGTGTTCACACAGTACCTCATGCCTCATGTAACTAGAAGAAGGGATAATTAGGGGAGGCCCCAATGGTCCTGCTGCCACACACAGAACACTGTCATCTGGCCTTTCCTGTCAAAGATAGACTAGAAATGCTCTGAAATGTTTCCCCACAACAACCATTGCTCTATCAAGTTGACTTCTCAGATATCATCTCTGCAGTGGGGAAACATGATTGACATGGGAAGTGGGTACCACATCATCACTGCTCTAATAACAGTGGCCATAGGCTCATTAGACTTATGGAACTAATTCATGGGCATAGGATAGAATCAGGAGCTATGGTTTACAGAAGGCCCAGAAGAAGATGAGCCTAATGAGACATTCTGATGTGAGCTCATGATACCAGAATGTCCATAAAAATGAAGACATCAAGGGCTGTGGTCATGAGGTTTCTGGTGCTATTAAATACTCTTCCTGAGAGTTGGCCAGAAGCGTCCGCATTACATTCTTTCAAGGAATTTGGATCCAGTCTCTGAAATGTTCATTTATATGAAGTTAAATATAGCGGGATAGTTTATTTAGTGGTGGAAATCTTTACAAATCATTACTCTTAAGGCTGTGACATTGTTATTGTTCATATTTTACCAGAGTTTACAATGATATTCAAGTGTAAAAATGTTGGGCATCAGAGAGATCCCATGCTTTGCCCCACCCATCATTGTTTGAGGAGATTGGGTGAATGGCGCTGAAGTCAGCAGCCCTATCTCCTATCTCCTATCATCTGCAACACTCAGGAGGGAAGACCTTGCCCCTCACCTGGGCAACAAAATAGAGCTGATCCTGCTGGCAGAGGTGTGGGTGAGAACTGCCCCCATTAGTTATCTAACAGCAAGAATGGAAGACAGCTAGCCCTGAGGTCATAAGGGTGAGAGAGCTGCCCCTATCCCCCACCAGCTGAAACACATATGCAGTGGATGTACTGTACCTCCACTGGGCAGTACAATAAAGCCAATTCTTTTGGCAGAGCCAGCCATCTGTGAGCATGGGAGAACTGTCTGCGTTACTCATCTGTAACATGGCAGCTTAGGAAAATGAGAGATGCCCTTTACTTCTGCCTCAAACAACCATTCCAGAGCCCATAAATTCCCCCAGCTTCAGTAGAGATGGTCCTGTCTCTCATCAGCTGCAGCACTCCAGAGAGAGGCCCCTATACCACACCTGGAAAAAACAGTAGAGTTGCTGCTGCTGTGTGGTTTTGGGAGATCTGACACTGAGGACTTGATAGCAGGAGAACTAGTCCTGCCCCTTGCTTGTCACTGCTAGGGGTGAACTTGCCAGGACAACACAGGAGAGCTCACCATGGTGGTGAGGACAAGGGAGAGCTGGCAGGCTCAACAACCCTGAAGTTGCCCAGGCCAGAACCAGGCATATGAGTTAGCCTGCCCCAGCATCCACCCCATCTGTGATCTCCTGGGAAAATTGAATGGACCGGTCCTGTAGACCCCAATCTGCAGGACCTCCACAACCCAGACGATCACCAGGATAATAAAGATTGATTCCACTGACAGCCTAGCATCGACAGTGTAGCAGAAACCAGAAGCCTCGAACCAAACCAATGACTCTGTGATGAACACTTACTTGCAAGTAAAGATATATGGATAATAGTGTTAGGTCATGGATGAAAGATTTAAAAATTAATTCGTTACCTATCAATTTCTTTTAATAGTTTATTCTCTTCTTCCTTCCCATTCTCTGAATGCATTGTGAATGCTTGAATTGATTGGTTCTGAAAAAAGTACATAAAGTACATTTTAAAATTATATGTATGATATTAAATATATCTTTGTCAAAATCTCTTAATCCTAAAATTCAGTGATCATTATGGAAGAGGAGATGTAAAGACTGTTAAGAGTGCAAGGCAATGGATTATGCAAGAGTATTTCCTGGATACAACAGGGAAGTAGCTTATATGAATTCACAGCAGGCAAGATAGCATGCAGAATAGTTGTCCAGGCTCATGGCCAAGAGAATTCCCGCAAGGAGGCTGAGGTGGCTATATACCGAACCCTAGCCCGGAGAGGTTGGCAGTGATCAATGGGAAAAGGATGAATGATTTTCTTTGTGGGAAGAATCTTTGCTGGGTTGTCACCATCCAAAGGATGCTACACATCCAGACATGTATGTGTAACCAAATTGACATAATTCACTTAAATAAGGAATAAAACATGAAGCTGAGCGTTTGGTGAATTGAAGGCAGGTATGAGATGAGTTGGGGAAGGGTAATATATCATCAAAATATATTGTCGAACATTCTCAATGAACTATTTAAAATAAGAAAAAAAGACTGTCGTTAGGTAAATGTGCTTGTCTATGATCTAGTACTTATTCTTTAATAAAGCTAAATATTACAGATAACTAAAACTCAAGATATCACAGAAAGGTTAAGGGTAAAATGAAATCCAAACTTTCATCAAATGTTTATGAATATCTTATAGATATACATTATGATGATATATTGGCAGGGATCAAAAATTCAATTAGAGATTAGTTTTGCACACAGCATAGTTATCAGTAGTCAAACACATGAAAATTAAGAGTCCTTCAAATGGTAATTGGGTAAGCCAACTATGGTAAATATGAACTATTGAGTGTAGACAAACTGAGAGTTTATCATTAATCACTTAACACCTGCAGGACATGGAAGATTCTGTTTTATTTTCATCCTAGAAGTCTGGAAGTAAAGTAAATCACAGCATTTATTTGTTATGAGGCTGGGCTACATAGTCACTTTCTCAGAGGTTAACCTGAGCTACATGGTCCCTGTCTCAAAAAAACAAATCTTTTTGTCAGTGTAATAAATTTTACAAATTCAGAGAACTTCTGTAAACTCAGAGAATTTAAACTACTATTCACCAACAGTTACAAGATGGTTATATCAAATATATGACCAGGTAGAATATGCATAAATCCCAAAATGTGGTTGTATATTACTGCTAGACATGGGAAATTTTCGACTCAGTATTTCAGAAATTAATACAAAAATGGGCTTAATATATATGGACTTACTTTTGTTGCCAGACTCTTTATACTTTCTTCTGCTTGATGATTTTTTGTTTCTTTTAAGTCAGAAATTTCCTGATTAACCCTAAAATACATGATTCAGAATGTGTTTAATGCACACATTTGAAAACACCCAGTTTGATTCTGAACAATACTGTTAATGATC